GCCTCGGATGACTCACATAAAATGAGCTCATATAGTTCACTCACTATAGACAGGGTGATCTTCTGATCCTTGACTAATCCTCGTACACTGCAGTACGAGAAAGCATTCGATGAAACATGCCTTGTTGTAGACTCACAAAAATAGAACCACGTTTTGAATGGGCTTTCGTATTGTGTACCATCACAGTCGTGAGCTATCCAAATATTATACCTACTTTCATCTGTGAAGCCCTTAAGTATGCATTGCTCTACGTGTTGGATACTGCATCATAGTCCACAGTACAGGTATTGCCCGAGTCAAAATCGGATGAGAATGTGAGCGTGCCGATCGTGAGGTCACGGATCTTGGGTGAATGGCCGATTGACATATTAATCTATCCAACTAGAAGAGCATATAACACGTCATCCGAGTCTCGAATTCGAAAGTTACCAATCCCAATGCTTATCGAACACCCATTAAGATGATACTGGGCGGCCGTTGAGTTACTGGTTCCCACCCCTGTACATGATAGAGGCGTCATATCCGCAACGAGCTAAATCCTATTGTAAGTCCTGCTGCTACTTCTAATAGACCAACTAGTTGACTTGTAAATAAAACGAGCACACAGTGACTGTACTGCAATGAGGAGTGTTGCAGTAGCATCTATGAGTCCGTGTGATAACAGGCTCCATTCAGCACACCTTTACTCGTATTATTCAAACATTAACCAACAAAACACACCTGTGATAGTGTAGCGTGACTAAAAGCAGCACTACTGAGAAAACTAACTCATCAACAACACTGTGTGCTCTTATTTCATCTTCTTTGACTCTCCTCCTGCTGTCTGTTTGCGAGTAGGCGAGTTAATACGGCCTGGCAGCGAGGTATCCTTATTGTAACTGAATGACGAGTCATGCATGCCTTAGATCACAATACTACATCATCAAGAAGGCGATCACAAAAAGGCCGAACGCCGCAACGAAAACCTGAGTATACGGAATGACGTGCTCATCCTGATGATGACGGTGATGATGTTACTGATGCGTAGTAAGGATATGCACAGAAGAGGAATCTGGGGTAGTCATTGTGCTTGTAGTTCCTCAATGGTGCTACTTCCTCTATATGGAGAGGATTCAAACCAAGTCTGTTGTAGTTCACCTACAACCGATCCAATGTACCAGCGAAAAGGAGGCAACAATCACTATCAAGTACCACAAACTTGAATATTCCATAAACATCGGGGGCCTTGAAAGTGAGTGTATGTAAACCGTTGTTGGATGCGTCAGGGAGCACGAAGGCTCTAATATGAGGGTCTAGCATAGTGTATTCGAGTTGGATCTGATAATGGTATTGTGAATACGATATAGTGATGAGGATTGGCTGAGTGTACATCAGGAGCTGTATATGGAACCCATCCCTTCATAGTCAGCTCTTCCAACTGAATCTCGAATGCTGATAACATCATGACTACTGCAGCAAGAATCCTCTATGATAGTCTTACTGATATCGTCCCCCTCAGTATACATATACGGCGCCTCGGTCTCCCCAACCTTATGGTGTCGCATATTTACAGCACGGATGACACCTAAGCAGGATGATGATGCAAGCGTGATACATAGGTGTGCTTACGTCGTTGATTGAATGCCCATGTATACATCGACTTACACACATTCCTATTGTCATATCCCTTCTTGTTGAATCTGAAGCCACGAGCAAGGTTGAGCCATACCATTGACCACAACAGTACATCTTATCAGCACACATATCCTTCGATCCAACGAGAAGGACACGAGCCCCATTACGGGCCTGTAGAGCTGATACCAGATTCAAACCACCTGATGCCGATAAGACTTGACCATAATGACACTATCCACTGACGCGGCCCACTCAAAGTGTTTGCAGCACCCTCTCTCATCATTTGCATTTTAGCGTCCTCAGAATACGCACTGGGTGACGACTTGACGACCTGATGATAGCAAGGAGACACATTAGGGTGCCATATGGACGTATAATAGTTCGTATTACCGGGAATACGCGGTCATTGCTCGGTGAAAGGGAATGACCAACACCTCTGCCGAAGAGGACCCTGTCCTTGGTAGCAGCAGTAGGATTGAAATGCGTCACTCGGGGAGCGACAAAGTTTCGACTCCACACCTAGAGTGACAAACGATAAAGCCTCTGATGGTAGTATTCTGTGAGTAGAGGCATCATACAGTGGTATGATCATTCCCCTCGTAGTGGAAGTGGTCAACAAGGGTCGAGTCTTGATCGTATACATCAAAGCCGAATTCGTTAACTAGCCTAAATGATGATTGTGACCACACCGAGAGGGATGCTAATGCCTACTTCCTCAAGCCATTCCCATTGAAATCCCTCCCAACATTAATGACAATACTCCTGTTACCCTTATCCACGAAGTCGACTAGATCAAACATAGA